TCCATTGATTCCATGCATACAGTGTTAGATTATTACCAGATGATATGTTAGTTATACACTCAATAAAGTTGAGCCTATCATTACGAGATATACTGTAATACACTAGTTGAGGATTTTCATAACTAGTGATGTGAATATGTACATTATTTGTTGTGCTGCCATTGACAAACTTAAACTCCATGCAGACCCCATTGAGTACCAGAGTATTAATCAATCTCAATTGCTGAAGATCATAAGTGTCTAAACAATACTAAAATTATTAATGGTCAATACATACATGCACTAACTGATTCTGATAGTATTGCTGTGAAAATTTGCTCCACTTTGATAATGTATAATAACAATAGTATCCAGTATCTCTCTTGAGGGAAGACTGATAACAGCAAAAAGGAGATTAGTTATTGTAAAAACTACTAATAAGTGACACTGCTGTTGACGAATAGCAATTACTAGCATTATCAACAGTGCAACTTATTACTGTAATATTAGCAAGTGACACTCCAAGACACAATTCATAGCCCTGTATATATGTGTGTATTACATACTCAATGAAGATACATTGACTAACTGATATAATGAAAGATAAACTCCAATTGTTGTTCATTCGATATGTAAAGGTGTCTTGGTAAATGCTCAGGAACTCCGAACCTATTAACAAAATACTTATGGATCTAAATTCATTTTGTTCCTGACTTGTTTCAAATCCAACAGTTATGTTATTAGTAGATCCATTCCCAGCTTTATTAGTAGTTGTAATGTTAAACAGATATTGTTTATTGGTTGGGTTCATTGGACAGTAAGTGTAGTTAGTGATAGAGTCATTAAGGTACTGTTGATCAGTTCCTACACTGATTATATACTGTACTGTTAGTCCTGGTAGTGTGAATGGAGGATACCAACTGATAAACATACAACAAGAATCTAACTGATATCCTGTTAAATTACTGACACTATCAGGTGGACCTGTCAATGATAAATTTAAATGATGTTAAAATGTGGAATTGTAATTACCTTGAATATAAATGTAAGCTGCTTCAGAAGTATTTATCATGATTCCCATACGAGCAGCACATACAATGTTAGTACCATTCACTTCACTAGTAGCAGTAAATGTTGTCCTCTTTCCTCCATTAGGTAAATCAGTTTCAGTTGGCATTACATCAGTTCCATACAAGATTGAGAGAGTATGTCCAGACAAATTGGTAGCACATTCGAATGTCACAGTATCATTAATATATGCATACTGTGTGACAGGAACAATAGTAACTCTACCTATGTAATATAAAATTTATATATTGTTATCTTATTCATATACCAGCAGCAAGAGCAAGAAATTGACACAATATTGTAGCAGCAAACAGAATTGAAACCATCATTGTTCATTAATTGTTGAGGAGTGGCTTTATAATTCTCCTCCCAGTCTTCATAGAGTTGCTCTGATTAGCTGAGCAGTTTAGTAAAAGTAATTCTACATGATAAAGAGGAAATTGTCTTTGACACCTTGTTTACACTTTAAAGTGTGAACATATTGCACAAGGTCTACAATGTGATCATAACACTCAGTCAATATTATTATGAAACAGAACATAGTTAGTGAAAGCTAACAGTGACAGCAACCAAAAATAGCACTTTTCCTATGCAAAGCATAATAATAGGATAGCAACAACTGAAAGTATGATCCAACAGAGAAAGAGAGAAAATATAAATCAAGTTAGATCTGCAAGGACAAGTGTCAGACTCACAATAAAAGAACAAGATTTTAAAGTTATTTATTATTAAAGTCTTGTACCCTCTACTACACCATAAGCAGCACATTCTTTCATTGACAGTACTGACTGTGGAGCTGGTATATTATCATACTGTGGACTAATTGATGATGATAATTCTTGCTCCTGTGCATCTGTAAATTCATCATTAAACTATTGAGTCTATTGTGAGCATTACTTTGATTATTAATCCCTTTCCTCTTGTAGTAGCACACAGTTAGTGTAACAGCATGGAGTACTAGTGATAGGATGAGGAATAATCCTAATAGACTAATCAATACTGCTACAGTAAACAGCCAATAGTAAAGAATGATAATCATTGCAATTGCAACTTACCACTAGTGACAAGAACATCATTTTGACTTTCCATTGTACACTTAGTGCAATCATCTACCGGTATAGCAGTTGTAGAAGAAACTGATGCAATTGCTGAGGTAGAATAAAGCAATTCTGAACTGCTAGGAGTAAAGGAGTCTTCATATGAAGTTACTGAATTCATTATGTACTGTGTAAAAGTATTACTACAGACTATAGCAGCTTCACTAATATTGATACCAGTTAATACAGCAGAAGGATTAGGAGTACAGTCCTCCATTACCTGCAGTGTTAAGTTGTTACCTGCTGGTATGTTAGTTATACACTGAATAAAGTTGAATCGATCATTACGAGATATACTGTAATACTCTAGTTGAGAATTTGAGTGTTCATAACCAGTGATGTGAATATAAATACTATTAGTTGTGCTGCCACTGACAAAACCAAACTCCAAGCAGACCTCATTAAATGAAGTATTAATTAATCTTAATTCCTGCAGATCATAAGTACCTAAACAATAATGAAATTTTATCAATAATTATAATTATTATTAATTTTACTGATTCTAATAGTATTGCTGTGAAAATTTGGATACTGCATGATAACAATAGTATCCAGTATCTCTCTTGAGGGAAGACTGATAATAGCAGCAAGGGAAATGTTATTGTAAGAGATATAAATGATAGACACTGCTGTTGCCAAATAGCAATTACTAGAATTACCAACAGTACAACTTGTTACTGTAATATTAGCAAGTGACACTCCAAGACACAGTTCATAGCCCTGTATATATGTATGTATGATATACTCAATGAAGATACATACTAACTGATATAATGAAAGATAAACTCCAATTGTTGTTCACTTGATACATGAAAGATCCTTGGTAAATGCTCAAAAATTTTGAATCTATCAAAAAATAGTTATAACTTTATTTTGCCTTACTTATTTGAAATCCAATAGTTATGTTACTAGTAGATCCATTCCCAGCTTTATTAGTAGTTGTAATGTTAAACTGATATTGTTTATTGGTTAGGTTCATTGGACAGTAAGTGTAGTTAGTGATAGAGTCATTAAGGTACTGTTGATCAGTTCCTACACTGATTATATACTGTACTGTTAGTCCTGGTAGTGTGAATGGAGGATACCAACTGATAAACATACAACAAGAATCTAACTGATATCCTGTTAAATTACTGACACTATCAGGTGGACCTGTCAATGATAAATTTAAATGATGTTAAAATGTGGAATTGTAATTACCTTGAATATAAATGTAAGCTGCTTCAGAAGTATTTATCATGATGCCCATACGAACCAAGCAAAAAATGTTAGTACCATTCACTTCACTAGTAGCAGTAAATGTTGTCCTCTTTCCTCCATTAGGTAAATCAGTTTCAGTTGGCATTACATTAGTTCCATAAAAGAATAAGACTGTATATCCAGACAAATTAGCAGCACATTCGAATGTCACAGTATCATTAAAATAAACATACTGTGTGACAGGAACAATAGTAAATATACCTATACAATATAAAACTCATAATATTATCATCTTATTCATATACCAGCAGCAAGAGCAAGAAATTGAGACAATATTGTAGCAGCAAACAGAATTGAAACCATCATTGTTCATTAATTGTCGAGGAGGGGCTTTAAAATCTCCTCCCAGTCTTCAGAGAGTGCTCTGTTTAGCTAAGAGGAGTTGCACAGTTTATTTAACATAATTCTACATGATAGAGAGGAAATTGTATTTGATACCTTGTTTACACTTTAAAGTGTGAACAAGGTGTACAAGGTCCATAACACTCAGTCAATACTATTATGAAACAGAACATAGTTAGTGAAAGCTAACAGTGACAGCAACCAAAAATAGCACTTTTCCTATGCAAAGCATAATAATAGAATAACAACAACTGAAAGTATGATCCAACAGAGAAAAAGAGAAAGTATAAATCAAGTTAGATCTGCAAGGACAAGTGTCAGACTCACAGTAAAAAACAAGATATTAGATTTATTTATTATTAAAGTCTTGTACCCTCTACTACACCATAAGCAGCACATTCTTTCATTGACAGTACTGACTGTGGAGCTGGTATATTCTCATACTGTGGACTAACTGATGATGATAATTCTTGTCCCTGTGAATCTGTAAAATTCATAATAAAACCAGTGCACAATATAAATGTAGATTACTTTGACTTTTATTCCTATTTCTCTTGTAGTAGCACACAGTTAGTGTAACAGCATGGAGTACTAGTGATAGGATGAGGAATAATCCTAATAGACTAATCAATACTCCTGTACAGTAAACAACCAACAATAAAGAATGGTAATATGGCAATTGCAACTTACCACTAGTGACAAGAACATCATTTTGGCTTTCCATTGTACACTTAGTGTAATCATTTATAGTAATTGTAGAAGAAACTGTAATTTCCGAAGTAGAATAGTATAATTCTGGACTGCTAGAAGAAAAGGAGTCTTCATATGAAGTTACTGAGCTCATTGTGTACTGTGTAAAAGTATTACTACAGACTGTAGCAGCTTCTCTAATATTGATACCAGTTAATACAGCAGAAGGATTAGGAGTACAGTCCTCCATTACCTGCAGTGTTAAGTTGTTACCTGCTGGTATGTTAGTTATACACTGAATGAAGTTGAATCGATCATTACGAGATATACTGTAATACTCTAGCTGAGAATTTGAGCCTTCATAACCAGTGATGTGAATATAAATACTGTTAGTTGTGCTGCCATTAACAAAATTAAACTCCATGCAGACCTCATTAAATGAAGTATCAATCAATTTTAATTGCTGAAGATCATAAGTGCCTAAACATCAATAAGATACTTATACTCAATACATACATGCACTAACTGATTCTGATAGTATTGCTGTGAAAATTTGCTCCATTTTGATGATGTATAATAACAATAGTATCCAGTATCTCTCTTGAGGGAAGACTGATAATAGCAGCAAGGGAAATGTTATTGTAAGAGCTATTAATGATAGACACTGCTGTTGATGAATAGCAATTACTAGAATTACCAACAGTACAACTTGTTACAGTGATATTAGCAAGTGACACTCCAAGACACAATTCATAGCCCTGTATATTTGTATGTATTACATACTCAATGAAGATACATTGACTAACTGAT